CCTATTCCTTTGGCATAGGTTCTCAGGGGTAGAGTGTGCACAGAGAAAACTTCTAGGTCCTGAAAGTTTTTGTTTTTCTATGTATCTTTTATTAGGCACAGGCTCCAGAAATTCTGCTTCTTGTAGTATTAAACTTAGTAGCACTTGGAGCAAACGTCTGTGCCAGAAATGTATACAAAAATTGGTTCGTGATAAATCCTCTGCTAGCTTTAAGGATTTCATGTCTTGTTTTAAGAAGTTCTCATCTACCTTTTTCAGTCGTTCAAAACCTTATTGTCAGACCTTAAATCCCTGAGACGCACAGTTTCTATGCCTTCTGTTCCAGTTCATTTAACAGAGGTCAGGAACAGTGAAACGGAGGTGACGGATGATGATTCTTTGGCTAAGCTTAGTGAGGCAGATTCCCCAGGGGAAGGGACCTCACGGGACCGGATTCCCAAACCTATACCCCAAGGTATGAGATGTCGCTGGAGGATGTGGACGATCCCCTCAAAGCCATTTACGAGTCTTTAGACATTCATGAATAGCAAATGTCTTTGTCTGTTCATGACTAGATGTATAAAGGTCTGGTGGAGGACAAAAACATGTTTTTCCCCCCAATCATCTTCCAGGACAGCAACCTGAGAGATGATTGGTTCTTCAGTCTACAGTAAACACAATCAACAAGATTAAAAAGCCCCTCCCACCCGCTTGTTCCTTAGTTTTTTTTATTGTCCGGGTCAGCGCAATATTTGTTGTTTTTTCCCTCGACTGAATGGCCTTGAGGCCAGTGGTCCCCCCTCTGTGTGGCTCTGCTGGATGTCTGAGGGCCAGCTTTGCCTGCCGTGACCACAGAGGGTCTTATTGACTGGAGTGAGCCCACTATTATTAACTCCTTTTTTACTACTTTCTGTGTTATTTTTATCCCCATGTTGTTGTGACCGGGACTCTTCCCTTTTTTGAATAGGGACAGACTCCCGGGGACGATTTCCTCCTGGCTGGTGCCCTGTCCGGTCCTCCCTGCTTGTGCAGGGGTTCGGTCTCCCAGTGGCGGCGGCGTGGCTGACATGGGGCTGGGCTTTCATTTCAAGCCTCGTTCTGGTTTTTCTCCTCTGACTAAGCAGCAGTGTAATTTCGACGCCGCGGGACGTAGTGGGGACTGCAGACCACCGAGGCCTGATGGAGGAAGAGGCTAACCTGGTCGTTCCTGTGCCCAAGTCGAAGGGGGTAAGTGATCTTATTCAGGGGCCTGGCTCAGTGAGGTGATGGGGACTCTGGTAGTCTGTATTACTTTATAGATAGTAATGTATGCTTATATGCCTCCATATAGGATTCTATAGGAGAGAAAGTAATGGCCTAGGTCACAGCTCCACCTCCCACCTCTGCTTCTAAACAAGTTAAAAAGCGCTGTAGCAATTGTAACGTTAAGTTGCTGAATAGTTATGAAAAACCATTTTGTGAACCCTGTATTCAGAAATTGATGTTCAGGACTTTGACTACTGTACGGACTTAAATGGCAGCAACAGTGCAATCTCTTAAAACATCCTTTACAGATTTGCTTTCGATCACTGCTTCGTCAGTTGTGTCTGCTGGTCCAGTCCCCTTTCAGGAAATTCTGAAAACCATTCGGGAATAACAGAAAGAGGATTCTGAATGCTCTTCTGATAGTTCCCTAGAGGAGGGGGAAACTTTAGAGGACACTGAGGCAGTTAACCATCCTCTTCATCTATTTTCTTTGGATGACATGGATAATTTGTTAAAAGAAAAATCGTGGATTGCCCCAACATGGGTTCCCTGTACTATCTCCCCCCCTCAAATACATTGAATATAGAAAAATAAGGGGAAAAAAGAGGGTTTGTGGAGAGATAGGTGTGACCCATGCATATGTAAAAATTGTATAAATTTATTGAATATAAAATACAAAATACAATCTCAGGCCGATTGCTTCTAAATGTATATACATAATAAAAGCCATAATCATCAAATATACAAAAATATAAAATCCAAATACATAACTGGCATGATAGTACCGGTAGTCATTATTGTTCAAAATTACATGATCCGTTTGTATATAAAAAATAACATGATTGTACCAACGCGTTTAGCTTCTTCAGGGGACCGGTATTTAACATTCATGCATCAACAGTGCCTGAGATAAAAGCGAATATGAGGAGGGGCAAGATGATCAGGTGGCTAAAGCACAGCCAACCACCCCACCCCATCCCTCTTCCAGCCTGGGACCCCGGTGCATCAATGGGAGAAACGCCTGGGAAACTTCACGGAGGCCCAGCCTGCCCCGCTGGGATGTCTCTACAGAAGGCATCTATTAGGGAGTGGCCTCAGTCCAGTAGCGCAGTAATCCTAATCTATCAACCTATTGGATAAAGAGGATAGGATGTTTCTATAAATTGTAGTTATGGGCCAAAATTCCTACATATCTCCACATTTAAACCAATCCTATAGATATATTTGTATCAATTTGTATATTGCATGACTTATAGTCGATATGGTCCAATCAAGTGTTAAGTGTGTTCCAATTAGAAAACCCCTGTATCTAATCAAAGACATGTATTAACTTACAATAGTAATATTGGTGCATGTGAGTGAACCCTTGTGAGTACAGTCTACCGTGACACAAGATTGCAGTTCGTATGTGTACAAATAGAATCGGTGTTGGTGGTAAGACTAATTTATTACGAATGTAGCAAAGGTTATAAATATAACCTAATGTGTATAATATTAATATTTCTATATTAATTATTATTTTTATTATAATAATTATTAATTAATAATATATTAATATTGCATTATTAGTAATGATTAAATCTAGGATGGCATTTTCCTAGTTTGGACCTCCACCATCTGGTCCATGAAATTGTCTCGCAACGTTCAGAAAGTGGCCCGCCTTTGTTGAACTTGAGGTTCCATTAGCCCAATTTATATCTGGATAATTGAAGTCGCCCATCACGACTACATTGCCCTCCCAGCTATTTCCATTTCGGACTGTAGTTGAGCCTCCCCCTCCTCCCCTATATTTGGAGGTTTGTAACAAATACCCACAATTAGTTTACGACCAGCGTCCATTATTTCTAATTCTAGCCATAAGGATTCCACATCTTCTCCACTATTTGACGTGATATCGTCCCTTTTTATATGCATATTTAGATTATTTTTAACATAAATGCATACAACCACCACCCCCACCCCCTTCTCCCACTTCTGTCCTTCCTGAACAGGTTATACCCCTCTGTATTGGTGGCCCAATCATGTGCGCTGTCTAGCCAGGTTTCCGCTATTCCCACTATATCGAAGTCCTCTTCGAGTAGCATAAGTTCAAGCTCTTCTAATTTATTAACTAGACTTCTAGCGTTTGTGTACATACATTGAATTCCTGATGTGTATGTGTTTAATGTACTTACAGCACTTACAGTGCTTTGTGAAGCTATTCACCCCCTTTGTGTTTTATAGTCTGAAACAATCACCAAGTCCATTTAGTGTAAGAAAACAACCCAGTAACTTTTCTTGCCTACACAACACTTATATTCTGTATATTTTTCAGTGCTCCTTAATTCACCATGTGTGTAATAAAATCAATCCTGTACTCACCACAACTACCACCAGATTGTTTGAGTGTAACGACCTGTTATTTTGACACTTTATTACCCTCACTGGAGCGGATTTATTCAATATCACATCGCATATAATACTCTATTGTGGATTTATCCACTAGTGGTTTAAACACTTTTTCCTGTATGGGCTAAGTGATTTTATAGCACATTTAATGTATAAATATCACTATTGTTTGTATGTGATTTTATATGACTTATGACTATTGGTATTGGATGTTTATTTAGATATTAAAGTGCAGGCACTTATACATTTTTCAAGAATTGCCCAGTATTAAGTGCCATTCATTAGTACTATGCCACTGTGGGGGCGTTTTTTTGGGTGATGGAAAGTGTTGGGTTTCCACCACACATGGTGTTTCCCATGTTGCCAAAAAGCTCAATGTTAAGGTGCCCATACACCTTACAATTATCGGATGATTTTCGTATGCGATCGACTTTTCGTCCAATAATCGTATGTGCGTATGACCGACATTACTGTAAAATCTTACGACTTTTGACGGTCAAGCATGTTTGAAAACTTTGCTAGATCGTACAGTTTTCGTAAGGTTGGTGGCGTTTCTGTCCGTCAAAAGTCGTACGATCTACACTGCGCTTGTGCTAACGAAAATCCGTCAAATCAATTACCGCATTTTCCTCCAGGTGCTTTTTGTTAATTACGGCTAAATGATTCTTGCGATCATCGGGGCAGGATGGGGCTGCCGTATGAAAATCGTACGACTATTCGATCATTGGACGAAAAGTTTTGTACGATAATCGTAAGGTGTATGGGCACCTTTAGTCTCATCTGACGCGGGAACATTGTTCCATGTGTTTGGCAAGTCTGCCAAATGCTGTTTGGTGAACTCCCATATGTGTAACCTTATATATTTTATTTATTTATTTTTTAAGCCATGGTCCTCCATGGGATGCTAAAAAATCCCAAACTTTAAATTTTTTATAACCCAGTCCTTGTCTATACTTCACAGCTTTGTCTGTGACCTGTTTGGAGAGCTCCTTGATCTTCATATTGCTTGCTTAGTGGTGTTGACACTCGGGGGGCCTTTCAGAAAAGGTGTAATTATACTGACGTCCTTTGACAGATCATGTGACACTCTGATTGCACACAGGTATACCTTTATCAACTAATTGGGATTTCTGAAGTTAATTGGTTGGCCCACATCTTATGGGTTTCATAGCAAAGTGGGTAAATACTTGCACATGCAATAATCATTGCTTTATCAATGTACTACATTACATTGCAGTTAAAGAAACAGTGACTTTAATACTACTTTAAGTCCTAGCATGTACAACTTTTTCATAAGATCATTATTACTAAATAGACACTAATGTGAATTTATTGAAAAAATATACTGAATTTGTGGAGTAATTTGCCTCAATTATTTTGATCTACAGTCTGTTACCACCATCCACCATGTTTGTGCTAGTTGAAATGGTGGACACTGTACGGACAACTCCATGGCACTTTGAACGTAAGCTGAATGACTCCATCGCGGAAGAACTAAACAAGAAATTGGCAAATAAGGTGAGCAACGTTGGCTTTTAGAAAAACGAAATATAGCTCCTCTTGTACTAAGCTAACATAGGCCAACAATCATTGCATATCCATATTATCTATTGCGTTGGTACATGTGCACTGAACTGTGTTTAATCATTCTTACAAAACTAATAAAGTAAAAAATGTCATACAGATTATATTTCTAACAAGGCTACGTGCATTCTCTAATACAATGCCCGGCCCAAAAAAAAAGTCACACACTCTAATATTTTGTTGGACCGCCTTTAGCTTTGATTATGGCATGCATTCACCGTGGAATTGTTTCGATAAACTTATGCAATGCCACAACTTTTATTTCCATTCAGAGTTGCATTAATTTTTTACCAAGATCTTGTAGTGATGATGGAAGAGTCCGACCACTGTGCAAAGTCTTCCCAAAGATTCTTAATGGGGTTAAGTTCTGGACTCTGTGGTGGCCAATTCATGTGTGAAAATGATGTCTCGTGCTTCCTGAACCACTCCTTTACAATTTTAGCCCGATGAATCCTGGCTTTGTCATGTTAGAATATGCCAGTGTCATCAGGAAAGAAAAAATCCATTGATGGGAAAAACTTGGTTATTCAAAAGATTCAGGTAGGTAGCTGACCTCATTTTGTGGGGACATAATGTTGCTGAACCTAGACCTGACCAACTGAAGCAACCCCAGATCATACCTCCTTAAATCCAGATGGACTTTTTTTTTTCTTTGGCTGGGCAGTGTAAATGTAAATTAGATATATGCTTGTATATACTACAAGTCAAAAAGATTCGCTAGTTGGTATATCCACCATTTCCTTTCATTCTAGCATTGATTTTCAAAAGATTTTTGGGAACGTAAGATTCTACGTTATTCCAGCACTCATTTACACTTTTCACAAACTGTTGTGGTCTTGCATTGTGGCTAATTCTTGCAATCTGGAGAAAATAAATAGTTACAGTTAGTACTGGTACCGTTACAGTCCCAACCAGTGTTCTGATTACCAGCAGCACCAGTATGGTGTCATCAGGTACTGATAAAGCACAACCAGTATTGTGTTTGCCAGAAGTACCACTACAGTGTCATCAGGTACCTTTACAGCCCCAACCAGTGTTCTGATTTCCAGCAGGTACCCTTACAGCCAATGTCCTGATTACCAGCAGTACCAGTATGGTGTCAGCAGTTGCTGTTACAACCAGTGTCCTGATTACCAGCAGTAGTAGTGCTGGTGTCAGCAGGAACTTGCTGCACAGCCAGTGTCCTGGTTGCTAGCCGTACCAGTACAGTGTCAGAAGTTACAGCCAATGTCCTGATTGCTGACACCATACTTGTACTGCTGGTAGTTACCTTTACAACTGCAACCAGTGTTCTGATTGCCAGTAGTACCTGTATGGTGTCATCGGGTACCAATAAAGCACAACCAGTTTTGGTGTGATGATGATGAGAGCACCGGAGAGACCTCACAGACTCTGATTCAAAGTATGAACCTGTTGAAAGCAGCGACTTGTTAACCACCTCTGATTCAGAAGATGAAGTTGTCCCTGCTAAGAGAGCCAGGCGTGCTGTGCCATTTAAACATCAAACATCCAGCTGAAATGCAGCAGACAAGCACCAGCAGTGCAACACATCCCTATGAAGTGGCAAGCACTGGTAGTGGGGTGATCCAACATTTGCCAAAAGAATTAGGCCCCAGAGAGCCCGTACCGGTGTACCAGAGGCACTTTCAAACTCCTTGTGGCTACCCTCTACTTCAGCAACGGCTAACCCCCCAATTTACTGCACATCCAGGAGTTAGAGTGGAAACTGAGAATTTTGCACCTATACAATTTGTTGTTTTGTTTTTTTTACTGATGAACTATTCACTGTAATTGTCGAACAAACCAACCTTTATTACCAGCAGTTCATTGCGAGCATTCCCAATTCCTCTTATGCCAGACCATCTCGGTATCTACACAGCCAATCCACCACATGGCCCTATATTATGTCATCATGTCCACGACAAGATATAAAATAATGTGATTTTTGCATTTCAGCGACAATTCAACTTGCCCTTCTAAAAGTGACCGCCCATATGATGGGCTCGGTTAAAATTAGACCACTTTTTTTGGGGGGGGGGGAGGTTACCCACCCCCCCCAGCAAAATAGCTGCATTGATGAGTCCATGATACATTTCACAGGCATAAGTATGATAAAGCAGTATCTGCCCAGTAAACATGCCAAGTGTGAGGTGAAATTATACAAGCTTTGTGAGAGGGGCACAGGCTACACATGATTTGAGGAATGAGGAAATCTTAGCCCTTAAATGGAAGGCCAAAAAAGACATGTATATCCATTTATCTATCCACCCAGATACCTCAATGCAAATTTAGGGGATTTTGGCCTGTCCCAAAAACCTCTTTGGGGCCATGAATGTAATCTGCATGAAGATGGCATAGATTTCAATGACCAGATAATGCAGACCTACCCGAGAACCAGAAGATAAGTTTACTGGTACAAAAATGTTTGAGGAACGTAGCGGACACCGAGCAGGGGGAGTGCACAGATCAGCTTGCGGTGGTTAATAATCATCCTTGTATATGACTGGTTATATGCGTCGTTTTTTGTGAGTAGATTTTGAATAAAAGTTTTAAAGTGTATCGGTTATCTGCACTATGGGATTTGTTTCATCTCTTGTATGCGCGGGTACACTACAAAGAAAAGAGGTTTGGATCGTTGTTAAATGTGAAGCCAAAAGGTGAACGGAGATGCAAACAGGATCGGGTTTGTAGCCGGTACGTAGTGAGAGCAGTGATCACTACAGAGCCATCCTACGTGAAGTGTGTATACCGCCCGCCAGCAGGCAAAAGGGGTTTGTGATACTGGACCTTATTGATTTGAGGTCTAATAAACAGGTGTATTCTGACTCCGATTGTTGTAATAGCGATTTATCACTTGAGACCTCTATGCCTGGCCTGTATAAGTAGATCTCAGAGGAAATGTGTCATCACATGAGGAAAGGAATACAGAAAAAACAGGTGCATTATCACCAAAGGCCACTAGATGGCAGCATAGGAACTAACATATAAAACGTCCATAGAAAATGGTATAGAGAAAACAATCTATATAAAACTTCTACTAACATTAATGTAATAACATATTCTATGCCCCATTGGGGCGGCACAAGGTGAGAGGTCGTCTGTGGGTACTCATGAGTGGAGGTGAAAGCGGTGTTTTGGAGTGTGAATAATGGCAGCGGTGGAGGAGTGTTTATTATTCATTATTGGCACCTTCCCCAAATTGTAAGAAATAATTGCATTCCAATCTTATGTGGAAAAGCATGTCGCCCTGCTTGCAACCAGCCATGGCTGTGGTTAATCTGTCAAACATTAGGGGAATAGATTAATCTCATAATACAGGAATCTGTGCCCATTCACACTAATCCTATATGCTTGCACACCTTCCTTATAAATACCATGCAACTTAAATATGTCATACTGACCATATAGTGAAAAAGCAAGACAAATTATTAATCATTCCAAGTGTCTGAAAAATCTGTCTATTTTACATACTAAAGTAAAATACTTTAGTATAGTCAGGCTGCTCTATACCTCTTCTGGGGTTAATAATCATCCTGGGGTAGACTGGAAGGATGTTTCAACTGCTTTTCATCTGCCTTAAATAGGGCTGGTAATGATTAAAATTGTCGTGTTCGATTTTAATCGAAATTTTTTTCAATCGATTAATTTCGATTATAGCGCACATACAGATCCAACTACATTGGCCTATACACATACAGCACAACAATGAAGTAATAAAATGAACTAGGATCACACTAATCCAGCACGTTATTAATCTCACGTGCCCCACTCAATATGGCCGCCGCTTGAGTGGGGCAACTCGGAATAATAACGTGCTGGATTACAAATGTATTTACGTAGCATAGTAAAACAGCAAAGCCCTAAGGGTGATTTAAACATAAGTATTAGCTTAATATTTGAAGTAGCAGCACCTGTCCATTCCATTTCATTTAAGGACCTTATTGCAACATAATATCAGTAAATTTCAATGGGCACATTTCTGGGAGCGAGATGGGGGTGGTGGGGGGTTAATGGAGAGCCACATAGTGCATACTGTCCGTGACGTCACCAGATCTCCGACTTGACTCCCGAAAGCCGGCGGAGAGGTGAGTATTTTAATTTTCGATCAAAAGAATTTTAATCGATCAAAAAGTTTAACGATTAATCGAGGAATTAATCATTAATTTCCCCAGCCCTAGTTTTAAAGAAAGGAATATGGAATGGTACATAGCATAAGTCCATCCAGCATACTTTATTAAGACTAAGAATGCATTGACATATTCCTGTGCACATAAGCAATGACATTTATCATGGTTATGGCCTTCTATACTATGGACCCAGTCAGCCACTGTTCCATTCCAGGCTTTGCGAATCACCTGGGACTTACCTCCAGGTTTATGTACGTGTGTTGTCAAGCTGTGGCCTAACTGTTGTCACTGTGAACTTCTTCAGGGATAAGCGTAAGCTGCATATTTAACTACATAGTGTTCACTGATCACCACGGAGACTGGGGATAGAGCCCAAACTGATCTACTACTTTCGCTTGTGTACGAACTCATTCACAGAAAAAGCAGTCTCACTGGCAACCAAAGTAGATGTGTTATGGAAATTCGCTTGGTTAAAGTATGTCAAACACAAAGAATCTCCCCTGTGCTTAAAAGCACAGTTGTATTAAGCTCTTTTGTGCAAGGACTGGAAGTACCTCTCGCAGAGTCATGTAGAGTCAGGACACAGGTCATGTTTTCATCGTGGAGTCAGTGTAGAAAGGGGCAGAACAGACCCCCCCAGCTCCTTCATTTATTAAGCTCAAAGGACGACACCCAGTGGGAGACGTCTTTACAACATCAGCCAGTCAGCCCAGCAAGTACAGGTACATATCAAAAGGAACAGGAGAGCACACCAACATGGCCGAACAGCCATGTGGTCGCCAATCCCCCATCATCGTCAGCATCGACTCCATTCAATACTGCTCAGAGTGACCAGTATCTAGTACGATCATTCTACTTGTTCTTACAGGTTTGAGACTATCTGCAGAGACATTGCTAATGCGGTTATCTTTCTACGGTACGAGTATACGGACAAGGCAGATTATCAATGTCTTCTTATAAAAGCAGATATGTATCCAAAAGGGATAGGGCAGTCCGCAATAGAGGTATAATACGCATCTCGTTATACGGCCTCCGCTTCGCTAATGTGTACATACGTTTAAAGGCAAGGAGCCCAGCGCATTGCACTTTGTACTCACAAACCGGCAAACGCCTCCACACACTGCGAACTTGTCTCCAAGCCCAGGAGAAGGTTTTCATACTGATGATTTTACCACTGGTCCCGATTCAACCCAAGTACCCTCTGCTCCTCGGTTACATCCGACACAGGGAGACAGATGACAATCCCTAAAACACACACATCCTACAATACAATGTCCACATCATTCCATATAATATTTCCACAACAGATGTAACCTTAATTGAACTTCTTCTCTGCATGTTATTGGTTTCTTTACAAGAAAAAATATCTCCCACATCCAAACAAAAACCCTTTTCCATCATGTGATGTGATAAATAGTACCCTTCTATAAACGCTGGTTTATCTGGAATAGATATGATGTTTCCACTGACATTCAAGTCGGGACACAGTATTGTGCAGTATATAAATGCAGGGCTTAGTGCACTTTCTAATTATTATTATTATTATTATTATTATTGCATAGTATTTATATAGCGCCAACAGTTTGCGCAGCGCTTTACAATATAAGGAAGACATAACAATACAATTGAATGAACAATACAAAAAGAATGTCCGTTCTTCGTCTGCTCTGTGTGATCACGGAGACCGTGGCGCTGTAATCACAGCTCCACCTGTCTCCGCTATCACTAACTACACAGAACCCTACCTTCCCTGCGTCCTATGGTCAGGTGCGCCTTACGGAGCGCAAAATACGATACTTTCATGGATTTAAAATAATGTGAATTGTAAAACTCTAAGCCAATACAACAAAATAACCAACCTTTTATTTAAAATAACACCAAATTTTTTTTCTATTTTTTATTTTAAGTTTGGGTTTTTTTTTTTATTTTTTTTGTTTTTTTTATTTGATTTGCTTTTATAAATTTTTTTACACTTTAAAAAAAATGTGGTCTTTTTAATTTTAGTTTATTTAATTTTATTTTTTTAAACTTTTTTTTTTATTTACTTTTTTGCTGGGGAAAAATACCCAGCCTGCTATTGGATATTTCAAATTGCAATAGCCAATAGCAGTCTGGCTATTGCCCTCGCCCAGGGACCTGAAGGAGAAAGATCTCCATCAGGTCCTCCAATGCTGATTGACAGCAGACAGTGGGCGGGTGCAATAGCCAGCCTGCTATTGCATTTTAAATATCCAATAGCAGTTCTTCAGTTTTCTTCAGTGGGGCTATCTTTAACAGGTGAATGAACTATTATTATTATTATTATTATTATTACAAATCCATAATTTAATACAGGATAGACACACATAACCGTGCATTATGGATTGTTTAAAGAGAGCACAACAGAAGCTGTTTTCTTTCAGACTCCCTCTTATTGAAACTCCATAAGTCTGCCTGGGAGTGGGAAGGAGGGGAATTAATAACTCCTGACTCTTTCAGCTGTGTGTATACATTTTAGGTTCAGCTACTTTGCTCTGTAAATGGACGTTACCTTACAACTTTTGGCTGCGGCTGTATTATACCCTGTGTTCCCATGTACAATTTCAAAAGTGACCATCTATATCTTTTGTACATAGTAAATAGTCAAATTTCCTTGGTTCAAAAATTTAGTTATACAATGTAGTGAAACCTGTTCTGTTCTTTCTAGGTTGTCTATAATGTGGGTCTCTGCATCTGTCTCTTTGACATAACCAAGCTGGAAGACTCCTATATTTTCCCTGGTGATGGAGCTTCTCACACAAAAGGTTCGTTCTTCACATCTTTCTGTGTTCTTGCCCTTAAGAAATCTAACAGGAAGCAATATATGATTCTTTATTGTTACATGAAAGTTCTTTTTACTATTCTGTGGGAGCTAAAGGTGCCTATATAGAATAAGATTGGGCCTCCTAATCAACTATAATTGTGTCATCCAGTGCGTGACAGATTGGGACACATATGGATAGACATCTATCCAAGCTGATTTTTCAGCTCTTGTTGGAAATATTGAAATGTGTTTACATGTGGTTGTGGTAAGTGTTAAGTTTATTTTTATCAATTAACAAAATTGGAACGTAAATGAATAGAAGAGAAATCCAAATCTAATCAATACTTGGTGTGACCACCATTTGCCTTCAAAACAGCATCAATTTCTTCTAGGTAAATTAGGTACCTCGGCTTATATTCGGGACGGCTTATACTCGAGTATATACGGTACAGACAGTTTTTAATTACATTGGCTGTATGTTTGGGGTCGTTGTCCTGCTGCAGGATACATTTGGGGTTAAACGCACACCTCCCTGATGGTATGGCATGATGGATAGGTATATGCTTGTATTTCTCAGAATTGAGGACACCAGCAACAGTGAAGCATGGTGGAGGTTCCTTGAGAAATAGAGAAGTAGATACTTATCCATCATGCCATACCATCAGGGAGGCGTGTGATTGACACCAAATGTATTCTGCAGCAGGACAACGACTCCAAACACAAAGCCAATGTCATTAAGATCTTCATCGTGAAAAACAAGAAGTCCTGGAAGTTATGGTTTGGCCCCTACAGAGCCCTATTCTCAACATTATCGAGTCTTTCTGGGATTACATGAAGAGACAGAAGGATTTGAGGCAGCCTACATCCACAGAAGATCTGTGGCTAGTTCTCAAAGATGTTTGGAACATGCTACCTGCCGAGTTCCTACAAAAAAGGGTGCAAGTGTACCTAGAAGAATTGATCATCACCTTAAAGAGTACCTGTCACCACCATCTGCTATCACATGGGGGGGCTTGTAAGCAAAAAAAAAGTTTAATTATATTTAAATAAAATCTAATAAAAAAAAAAATTTAAAAGTCCCCCGCGAGCACGCGCGTCGCCACGTAAACACGCGTCGGGTGCGCCTACGTATGAAAACGACGAACGCGCTACACATGTTGGGTATCGCCGTGCACGCCGGAGTGAAAGCAATAATTCTAGGGCCAGTATTTTGGGGTATCTCTAAATTGATGACCTGTGGGGGCTTTTAAAGCGTCTTCTATGGACTTTTTGGGGTACTGGGGTTTTTCGCCGTTTTACGGATGCACGCAATTTTTAACCTGGGCATGTTGGGTATCGTTTTACTCGTTGTAACCTCATCTTTTATATTTCATTTAAAAAAATGGGTATTTTGTTGTGTTTTGGGGCATTTAATTAAATTTTTCACTAAATATTGGGGTTTAATAAGGAGTTGCGCTAATATTGCGCAACATAAAAATTTGCAACTACCACCATTTTATTCTATAGGGTCTTGGGATTCAGAAAATATATAATGTTGGGGGGTTTTAAGTAATTTTCAGGCCTAAAATGTGGAATATAACATGGGTACAAAAAATGAAAAAAGGCCTCAGTCATGAAGGGGTTAAAGGCAAAGGGTGGTCACACCAAATTTTGATTTGATTCGGATTTCTCTTCTGTTTACTTTCCATTTTGTTAAGTTTATTTTTATAAAACAAAACAATTAACACTTTTATGTCTGAAAGCATTTTTACTTTACAGCATTTTTTTTTCCACAACTGCCAAAAAGTTTTGCACAGTACTGTGCATGTAGCAGTTTTATAGCTACTTGCACGTATTAACACCCATTTGCTTAAACCAAAAGGTATGCAAATTGCCATTATTTGGTTGTAATGGGAGTCATAGAGCCTCTACCAAACTGTAATTTGGTATATTGTATACATTGTGCATATTCTCTTTTAATAAGTACATTTCTGAGGGTTCATTGGGGAACATAGTAGTCCACTAGCTATGTGCACTCCTTGGACACCAAAGGATCCTGTCATAAAGTAGTGGTATGGCTTGCCAAAGCAAGCGGAGCGTAATAAAAATTAATTTGAGGGGACGGGAGGATGGGAGAAGAGCCCAGTCATGTGTCCTGTAAAAGTAATGCGCCATTGCTACATTAAGCAGATACAACTGCAGGCTCTACATGATGCCTTTCAATGTATGGATGGGCTGCAAAATGCAGGCTGCGGTGCGAAGTATAATGGAGAGTGGTATCCTCTCTCCACTATAAATAGATCCCCAAGAGGCAAAACACCTACAGAGCATATTATTCTGTGCAAAAAGTCAGCCTCAGCTTAACTTGCTGTCCTACTAAGGAGGTTGGAAAATTTCCCATCTCTCCTGATTCAAGACTGAGGTTTGAAAATTGTATATTTCTTGTTACAGTGCTGCAACAGATTAGCTGGCAGTAATCAAATCTGATCCTTCCATGAAAAGATAAGTTTGAGAAAAGACACCGTAACAAAAACATAAATGATTTATGAAGTCATGACATGAAGTGAGAAATAAATCTCCCTAATGGAAATCGCATTCAGAAGAAAAAAAACCTAACTCTTATACAATCTATTTAAAACTAAAAAAAACTTTGCATACAGTTAGGTTTTGGATTTTGCTTGCTAGTTTTAGCATTGGTTGATGGGTGGGAAAAATGGAATCTCATGTTTTTGGGGTTTTTTGTTAGTTATTATGCCTTTTAATACTTTGTATTTGCCTTTTGGGTTCAGTTCATTTCCGATATGTTGTATTCCATCCTTTTCTTGATGAAATCATGATGGGAAAGATCAAAGGCTGCAGCCCTGAAGGTGTACATGGTGAGTGATTACAGTGCCTTGGTGGTCATCTTGGTTGAGGAAGGACTTTGCTTCTCAAGTCAAAGCTGTCCCCTAATAACTGGTGATCCAATTAGTGGTTGGGGAGATATTCAAGATGCAGCAGTATAGGTGTAGGAAGCATAGATCCACAGTGACTGCAGTAGAGGCAGGGAGATGGATGTTGTGCAGGTTCACGTGAACAGGTTTTATCAAGCAGCCTAGTAGTGAGGTCACCAAATCTCACTTGAAAGTGTGTGAGACCAGCAGTCACACAGGCAGCAGTGTCTCTAACAGCAGATGCATAGCTCACATGCCACAAAGTGCACTTTTCATTTTCAGAAGGAATTTAAGACAAAGGCTTGATTTTTTTTTTTTCATGGTACTGCTTAGGCACAATTAACATTTCTAGATGTTCCCTGTAACTGCAGATTTTGACTTATTCGGTTCAAGTCTACTTTAAAAAAAAAATTCCAGTCATTTCTCCTAGTATAACTTACAATATTAAAATGGTCCGAGCAGTAACATTACAAGACTGCATGAAAGCATCTGATTGCCTCACTTCCATAATTATTCCTAATTTTTAGGGATGCACCGATCTATCGGCCGCCGAAACATATTGGTAGAAAATGGCACTTTTGGCATAATGCCGAAAGTGCCATGTTTCGGCCGATACAACGCTACATCCCTGCTTTCTCTCCTCCCCGTGTGTGTCCCAGCGGGGAAGAGAGAAAGTGTCACAGGCGGCCGAGCGCTGCGGTAGGAGAGAGCTGTTAACGGCCGATGTGTCTCCTCCCACACCGCTCGGCCACCTATCACAGTCCGGCAGAGCGGTGTGTGGGCGGAGACAGGCCGCGCTGTCACAGAAGGTTGAGCTCTCCCTGCACCGCTCGCTCAGCCTACTGTGACAGCGTGTCAGAGAGGAGAGCAGGCTACAAACACTCAGCGATCAGTGATCGCTGAGTGTTTGTAGATAATAGAGGCTATGGTATGGTTACTGTATCCTCAATTATGAATGAATGGGAAGTGATCTACATCACCTCCTGTTCATTCATGATTGTAGTTATAGTAAACATACGATGTCCTCATGTTATCAATGAACAGAAACACTCAGTTTAGAGGATTCCTGTTAATTGATAACTGAGGCTGCAGAAAAAGAGATTGAGGACTTTGTGTCCTAAATCTCTTTCTATTTTAGTGTTGAATCAGTTTTTATTAGAATTTTCGTAGGATTCATACAGTACGGTATATAGAGAAAAAAAATACAACACATAAGAAGGCAATACAATACACAGGTGAGTATATTATCCTGTAACGGACCAAGAATGACAACTCTATACTAGTATCGCAGTTGCTCCTATAAACTAAAGCAAGTTGTGTGTGTCCAAGGGTCCAGGTGTGGCGATAATAGAACATTGCTAATGGGTAGGAGTCTATATTATCGGATCATATATATGAAAAAACTACTGGACTACTCAGCTGTTGATTAGGAGGGGAACGGAGAAAGCCAGGACAGCAGTTTCAGTACTAGATATTGCCAGTAAACCGAGCGCATGAATCTCTAGGTCTCTTATAAGGAACTACAAGAGGACAGACTTATGTAGAGAGCAGGAAAAGAGAAAGCAGAGTAAGAGGAAAAGGTCAGGAAAGGAGGGAGGGGAGGGGGAGATACGGAGGGCTGGGTGCAGGTCCCCATCTGAGAGGCTATCTAACAGAGAAAAAAGAAACCACAAACAACACTCTGCAAGACGTCTACGTTGGAGCAGCGCCTAGGAAGGTCTGGAGATCGGTGGAGGGGGAAAAATGTATCCACACACTCCACTGCTTCATAAATTTGGAGAAGTTATCAATATCAGTCGCTAACAGCTCTTCCATACACATTGTCATTCACATGACTTGCCCATATTGCGATGGTAGGCAAGACTGCTCTTTTCCAGTAGAGGGGGATAACCTGCCGGGGCGCTGAGAGGAAGTGTCTCAGCAGTGTGCCTTTTTGGGATTTTCAGGACCCTGGTAAAAGCGACAGCAAGGCTACCTCAGGCGAGGGAGGCAATGTATTCCTGTATAAATGGTTAAATATCTCAAAGACTCTCTGCCAAAAAGAAACAATTTTAGGGCAGGTCCACCATATATGCAGGTATGTACCAGGGTCTCGATATCACCTGGTTACAATTTTGTAATTCTTCTCCTGGGCATAGGAAGATATAGAAGATTTATATGGAAAATGGTTGCCCAGTCTGAGTCCGTCAGTTCTTTCTGTAAATCCGCACGCCACTTAGCTTGGAAGCTCGGCGGCGTCTGCTGGGAAACGTCTCTCAGCATCCCATAGATTACTGATATCGTGTGGCGGGCCGGTGTTCGAGCAACTAGCATGTCTTCGAAGTGTGTCAGTGGCTTTTGAGTTTGGCCGGAAGCTTATAGGGCCGAACAAAAGCTGGACAGCTGTCTAATAACCAGTTCCAAGAAGGACTTGACACCTGCCCCTCGGGCCCAACAAATCGTCCAGTGGATGGGTGTATAAACTCCCTAGCTGTAGGCCAGTCGCCCCTCCTATATCCCCCATGGATGAGATCGCCACCGCTACAGGTAGCAAAGAGTTGTCAAACAGTGGGGAGAGGGGACTAGGCACAGTAGTGAGGGCAAAGTCGGTGTAGACAGTGTGCCATGTCTTCAAAGTAGCAGTTGTGAGGGGAGAAGGTTGGGGGGATGTTACCGTTCTATCACCACAGATGGTTTGAACTGCATGGGAGGGGCCGGGAACCAGTCCAGAATTCTTGCCAGGAGTGCAGCCCGATGGTACATTTCAAAGTCAGGTAAGCCCACTCCCCCTCTCAATTTGTGTCTGCACAGAGTCCCATAACTTTAAAGTTACCACCAAATCTACGAAATTGCCTTAACAGAGCCGGGATACTGGTATGGGGACTTGTGATATACAATAGTAGATCGTCCGCAAATAGAGACATCTTATGATGAAGGGAGGGAGTGTTGATACCGTGTATATCCGGATTGGACCGTGTGGCCTGTGCCAGGTGTTCCATGACTATTACATAGAGAAGGGGAGATAGAGGGCATCTCTGCCTAGTGCCATTGGAAATTGCGAAAGGTGTGGAAAATGTGCCGTTTACCATGACTCGGGCTGTTGGGGAGGAATATAGGGACATTATTTTAGCGAGAATAGTTGGGCTCAGGCCAATCTGCAGCAGGGCCTGGCGGAGGAAGCCACAATCTACTCGGTCAAATGCCTTCTCAGCATCAATAGAAATTAAACAAGCCTTAATGTTGTTTATGAATGTGGGAAATCAGATGAATAGTTTTAACTGTGTTATCCCTGGCCTCCCGCCCCGGTACAAAGCCCACTTGTTCCGGGTTAATGATGGACGGCAAAGAAGGGGAGAGTCGGAGTGCTAGACGTTTGGAGAAAAGTTTAATGTCGACATTAAGCAAAGAAATTGGCCGATAATTTTGACACAGAGAAGGATCCTTGCCGGGTTTGGGAATAACGCAGATGTTTGCCTCTAAACATACTGGGTGGGAAGGGGTGATTAGCATCAACTGAGTTAAAGGTGCGGGTCAAAACCGGTGATAGGATATCCAAAAGAACCTTGTAAAACCTGGGGGAATACCCATCCGGGCTCGCACATTTCCCAGTTTTAAGAGCGCAAATAGCACAATCCACCTCGGCCTGGGAGAAGGGTGTCTCCAATGCGAGTGCATCGGTAGGGTCTAAAGTCGGCCAAGCAGACTGTTCGATATATTGTTCCAGGGATTCAGGGACGTGCCCGGGGGCGGGGTAAACGCGGGGGCAGGTAGATTGTAAAGACCCGAGTAGTAGCGGCTGAACTCTCCGGGTATACCCATTGCGGAGTGTACTCTAGTAGATCGGGGTCCGGAGACAGATAAATGTGGGCGGGGATGTAAGGTTCTAGCTAAGTGATGCCCGCATTTATTGGCGGACTCGTATCGCAATTTACACGCCCTATACCTAGCTAGTTATGATCCACAGTCTAATATAGAGAGCAGCTCTCGGCGGGCATTTGACAATTCCACGTAAGTGTCGTCGAGCCGGGTGGATTTGTGGAGGCTCTCAAGTTTTGCTACCAGTGGACAGAAGGTCCGCAATGTGGGTTGCTCTAGCCCATGGGTAGGCAACCTCGGCACCCCAGCTGTGGTGCAACTACTAATTCCATCATGCTTTGCCTCTGGGAGTCATGCCTGTAGCTGGCAGAGTCTTGCAATGCCTCATGGGGTTTGTAGTTTTAGAACAGCTGGAGTGCCGAGGTTGCCTACCCCTGCTCTAGCCGTTTGAGGCAGGAGCCATGTTTTATAAATATGCCTCTCACCACACATTTTAGGAGCTTCCCAATTGGTCAGTGGGTGCGTGGGATCCGCATCATGATCAATGATAAAGTTCTGGATTGAGGTCCTGATCTCCGCTAAGCAGATCGAGTCAGTCAGTAAGGTGTCGTTCAGTCTCCAAGAAAAACCTGTGCGTGTGACCGGTGGGACTCCCAAGGTTAGAAAAATTGGGGCATGGTCGGACCAGATACATAGACCGATACGGGCTGTGGGAGCAGAGTCCAGCAGTGGTTGTGCCAGGAAGAAATAATCAAGTCTACTGTATGAGTTGTGGGCCTGAGAATGGCATGTGTAGTCCCTCTCGGATGTATGGAGGACCCGCCACACATCAATCAATCAATCAGTCTGAGCTTGAGCAATAAACCTTTAATTTTGGTGAGGGATGCATAAGACATTGCGGACTTACCGGATGAGGAGTCTAGACTGGGCACCAGGGCGACGTTGAAGTCTCCTCCCAAGATCAGGTTAGGACATCCGAAGTTCTCCAGAGCCATTACTAAAGATGTAAGAAACCACAGCTGGTCCTGGTTGGGGAAATAAACATTAGCCAGGGTTTACACATTATCTAACAGTTTAACTTTCAGAAAGAGGAACCTGCCCACGGGGTCCAGTTGCTGTTGCAAGATCTCAGGCTGAAGGGATTTATG